TGCTTGAGACAATCCACGCCAAGGAGAAGTGTCAGCGCTGGCAGCAGGCCTGGCATCTCTTGCAGGACCTGCGGCCTCAGCGGCTGCAGCCCAACCTCGCCGCTTGAGCAAACGAGCTCTGGACCCAGACGTGTTCTTTCCATGTGCCGAAATATATGTGAAATGGTCCCTATTAGGTTTTGAAGGGAATCTTTACTGGACAAATGTTCTTATTTTGAGCAATGGCTCTGTACCCAGACTTTTGAAGGTAGAACGAGCTCAATGGTTCCCTTGGTTGCCTGTGCAGGAGATGGGATCACTGGGAATGATGATAACTTCCATTTGCCGAAATGAATTGGCTTCTTATTTTCCCTGTTTGGTTTTGAAGGGAATCCTTCACTACTGGAAATCTGTTATCATTTTTTCCAGGGGGCTTAAGCAAATGAAAGTTTGCGGAGCCCCGTTGATTTTCCCAGACCTGTGGGTTGCTTCCTCTCGTCTGAGGGGGCCTCGTCAAGGGGCAAGGGAGTCTCTTGTGCCACCAGCAGATTGCCTTGTGTCATGTATGAAATTCTGAAAGGACGCGAAGCAAGTCAAGCACCGGGGCCTTGTGGAATGCTCAGAAACCAGTTCACAGCAGATCTGCGTAGCAAAGCCAGACGCAAAATGTTGGCAGAGAACTGATCCCAAGCCATGCAGCTGCAACACAGAACCTGTTCGCAGGAGTTATGTCTCAATTGAGTACTCAGTACAACTTCAGCTGAAAAGGGCACAGATGGCTGGCTGTTTTCTGAAGCTGGCTGAGTCACTCGACTTCTGCCGGTGTTCAGAATGTGCACGGAGAAAGTAATGTAGCAAAGGCAAGTGTGAAACAGAGAGAGAGAGAGAGAGAGAGAGAGAGAGAGAGAGAGAGAGAGAGAGAGAGAGAGAGAGAGAGAGGTAGAGATCCTCTTGGTCTGGCGCAGTTAATCTCAAAGCCGGATTAAGCATGCAGGAAGACTTTCAGTCAACATCTTGCTGATACATTGCTGTTGGGATTACAGTTCGTTTGCCGGTACCCAGCTCGGCTGTGCATGTGTGCCGGAAGTTGTTTCTCAAGTTATGTCTGATGCTCAACTCAGAATTTCGGAAACCTCGGATTTCAGGCTTGCTTTTCCTTTGGAAAAGGAGGATCTACCCTGGGAGGATCTCAATGTAAACCTGTGGGCGAGAGCAGAGCATGAATCACGGGATGTCCGAGGCAGCGACCCCTCGACCCATGTTCTTCTAGCCAAGTAGTTGTTTTTTCTTCTACATATGCTTACCACCTTTTTTCCCACGGGATGATCATTCGAGAAGCCCCAAACGATGATTTTGTTTAAATGGGCGAAGGTGACTTATGGTCCAAACTGGGGCCCATGGAATTTGGATCAACCGGTGGGAAACATGTTGAAACATGCTTGCTTCTTGCGGTTTGGTTGAAATCCACCCACTGAGCTGCTAGAATCTGAGAATGGTTGCTCCCCTTCCAACGTCAACCAATGGGTTCCTTGGTTCTAGTGCATGTCCAAGGGAATCCCATCTATTTCGCAAAAGGACACCTATGGCTACATGGTTTTCGAGTGGCTTGGGGCCTCAAACTGCTCAACAACCTTTGCATTAAGCGCCTAATCCACCTGTCTATGTGTCAACATTCCTATTTTCGTGGCATGGGCCATATCTCTGTTCGGATCCTTTTGGGAGGTGACCTTGAGCGCATCCATCAGCGCCGCGGGGCAGTGGCAGCGCGGTTTGGAGATCTTCGAAATGTTGGACCAGCGTAGTGCGCGGGGCCCGGGCCGTGGGCAACCAGACGATCCGTTTCCCCGTCCCTTTTTGGGGAAACCAATTGGAAGAGAAGCTGGTTTGTGGGGTTTTGCCCCTGCAAGACGCACTCAAGCGGATGAGCCGGTTTGTGGGGGGAGGAGGGGGGGGGTGTGGGAGAGTCAAAGCTGTATACTTTTGAACTTGACCCTCTTAGAGACAAACAGATCTGTTTTAAGATGAGCTCTAGACTCAGGTCCCTTGAATTTCAGAAATGACCATTCATTCCCTGAGGTGATTGCTTTCAACGCGGCGATCAACGCCTGCCCATGGCAAGCGGCCCTGCTTTTGTCCACTCGACTGCGGCAAGAAGGAGCCGCGGGCCGTGAGGCTTAGGGAGAGCAGAGAGGGCCAAAGGGAGGTCGAAATACTTTTTGAAGGTCCCTCAGGGCTGCTTAACTTGGATAAATTCCAGTAGTGCATACCGGCACCCGTCCACCCGTCCCATTGGATCGCACGAGGTAGGTAATTGCAGCTGATCGGAGGTGTTTTGGAGAATACCTAAATTTGGGGTTGGTCACATACCCATATTGAGCTGTGCGCCACTCATCATTAAGACATGATGTCCCAATGCAACATGGCGGCAGCCGAGCGGACACAGTGCACTTTGTCATGTTGATCCAGCCATGTTGCAGGCGCTCGGGGGGTTCCACGGATTTGCCCAATAGGCTGTTTGCATGTTGTTTTTTTCCCTGGAATTGGTGGCTGACTAGGCCTCAGGTCGAAAAGAAAAAAGAGGTGTGGAAAACGTCCCATAGCAACTGCCTCAACCCTGAATCCTATGGCCTCGCGGGCTGCAAAAGACTAAAGCGGCCGTACGCCCTTTGCAAGCATGTTTCCATGTGTATATGTTTGTCTGTGTTGTGTGCGCTGTGCGGGTTTGTCTACCCTTATGCATCTTTGAAAGGGAAACAAAGACAAGCCGTCGACTTGACGGATCACAAGCCCGAGAGAATGGTCAACTGCAAAGCCTGTCAGCTGCTGTGAGAAGGAATCTGCGTGGTTCCCTGCTAAAAGTTTTATGCGTTGGCCATTCGGTTTCCGTAATTCCTCATTCCTTGGTTTGCTGTGGTTTCATGTTGGGTTCTTGAAAAAGCCAACTAGAACTGGGCTCCTGAGGTTTTGACAAGCGGCCTGCCTCCACACGGGTTTGGTTTGTTTCTTAGTTGTCTTGTCAGGTTAAAAGTTATGCCTGAATGTGTGGTATTTGAACTTAAAAGAAAAACAAACAAAAGGAATACAAGTGTCTCAGTTCGATGCACCGCATTTCCGAGAGGACTTCTTCCAAGCGTCGTCACTGCGGGCGCTGCCATTGCGGCAACTGCGGAGCCGCCCAGCGGCGCTGGCGCGTCCCCATGGGCAATTTTAGTAGGTGGTTCTCCCACCAGCCCTGAAAAACCTTGATAACCATGTTAGAACCAAAACTCAATTGGTGGCTGGACAAGGGTGCGTGTTGAGGGTAGCCTTTTCACCTTGGTGCACACTGAAATCAAAAGAAAAGCCCAACAAAAAGTGGGGGGGCCACAAGAGCTTGTTTTTTTCTCCAGTGGGTGCTTAAAGGTTGCAGTTTGGCCAGCAGATTGGATTGAGGGATGAATTTGTCGGGTGGCTCTGGTTTGGGCTTTGGATGTGTGTTACAAGCCAGCCCGAAAGAAATGTCGTTTCATGTAGTTCCCACCGTGTTGTGACCTCATTGAAGGAGATCACCATACAGGGTCAGCATGTTGTCCATCCCATGTGTCTCATAGCGAGCGAACGTGCTTCCTATTGCCTCACCCGTCCATCTATCGCAACACCTTGGCTCATGTGTCCCAATGTCGCACCTCCTCGTTAAACTTGCTCAAAACAGGTGGGTCTGGTCTTCCTTTGTGTGAGTGTGTGTGTTGCATCAACTGCTAGCAGTCTAGAGCACCTTCAAAGGCGGGCGCTGGCCACGATGCCTTTCAATATGTGAAAGGACAGAATCGATGAGCGACATGTTCGCTGCTTTCTTGGCAGCCTCCAGATGTGGGGGTTGTCCCTGGGTGCCGCTTGGCCTCTTGGGCTGCGAACGCTCAGGCATACGAAGGCGAACGTCACACCCAGACGCACCTTTAATCATTTCCTCCCACGGCGGCAGCAGGAGTTTCACGTTGGATAAGACATCTACAAAATGTAGCTCAACACAGGAGGAGTGTTTATTTGTTTGAGGAATTCCACGGCTCACATTTAAGCCCAGAGGTTTTCCTGATGCAGACCCCTCTATCTTGGGAACCCCTCATGGAGAAGTTGTTTGCCGGCATTCCGGTGCCATATCCAAGGCAGGGGCGATGGACGAGAGCGATTCACCTGCTTTCTTTGGATGGGCTGCAGAACAACGAGGTGACCTTCACCGCTGCGGTGGTTGCCTGCGAGCTCGCAATCGGAGAAAAGCTCGGGCGGAGCTTGGCGTTTCTTTGTGTAAAGAGAGACTAGGTCCCCCAGTAATGCCCTTTCACCTTTGGGGGAGGGTTCCCCTACTAAAAAGACTACAGCAAAAAAATCGGGTACCCTTATTCTAAGCTCTCTACTGGAGGACCTAGGAGAGAGAGAGCGAGAGAGAGAGACGTCATTGACGTACAGGTTTGAAGAAGCGTTGAAGTTTTGCGGGGTTCGGAGTTTGTGTGTATGAGCCTGGTTCTTGCAGCATCCTTCTTTCAGAGTGACCAGTGGTTGGGAAGCTTAGCGCTGGCGTTATGGCACATACGGAAGGGCAATAGTCCACTTAGCCACGTGTTGATGTTACAGGTGAAGCATCCAATGTCAACTTGGTTGCGCTATCTTTGGCTTGCAAACAGTGCTTGCTCATTGGGCTCGATCTGGTCTGGACCGTGATTGAAATGTAAGTTGGAGCCGGCAAGGAAAAACTTGGATTCTGCTGCGTTTTTGGAGGAAATGTTTCGCCTTCTGCTTCCCAAGCGAATTGCGCTTGTTTTTGGTGCAACACCTTGAGCAGATTGGAGAGAGCTAATTGGGGTTTCTTGCAAGGGCCAAGGGCCCAAGCATTTGGCTTCAGCAGAACTTGATTACGTGCGCACTCCGGCTCGATTCTGCCCTCGTGATTCGCTTATGCCCGGGCAGCACTCACCAAGCGACCAAAGTGCAGAACATGCGGGTTACCCCCAAGATCTTATCCACGATTGGCCAATGGTTGGAAAACTGAGAGAGACCCGCAGTTTGCTTGCGCCGGCGCTGTATGGAAGCTGGGTGACCATGGGGCCCATGTCACCGGATGGATCTTGGCCCCGGCGAGCGCTGGATACAAACTCAGGCGCGCGGATTTTTCAAGCGGGAGGATCCAATGCCACCCGCTTGGGAGGCGCAAGGCGTTTTCAGCGGCAGCCTGTTCTCCACCCCTTCGTTGCACCTGAACGGGCAAAGTCTGCCACCGAAACAAGCAAACCAGTTGGCTAAACGACAAGCTTGCTATGATTACATGACTTGTTCTCTTAAACAACCTCCCCAATCGTTTCATTCGTGATCCAAACTTGAGATGGCCGACATGGCTCACGTCAGGTGCCTAGCCGCGTCACCACCAAGACCTACAATGTGGCCATCAGCGCCTGCGGCAAGAGCGGCTTGCCTGAGATCACAGGGGTCGCAAGAGGTGCATGTTAAGTTTGGTCCGATTATCCATTTGTCAGTGTATGACCCATGTGGAAGGGACATGGGGCGCTTCCTAAATTTAAAAAATGAAGAAAAAATATAAGACAAAAAGAGAAAGAAAGAAAAAGGGGGACTCCTCAATTGTCCCATCTCTAGTAGGGAAATCGTTGAGTTTGACTGTGGCTCGTGTTTGTAAGGTTGGGTCAGGAATGCACAAGGTGCGTCTCACTAAGACGGCAAGACTGACAGAGATAGTTTCCCCTGTGGTTTGTTGACCATGGACGCAATGATACTGTGAGCATGGGATGCTGAAGGATAAGCAAAGCTCCATAGACTTAATAGCGCATTGTGATTGAGTACATGCTCCACTGGTGACATGTTTGTCAGTAGAGTGCATGCTGAGTTGAAACGTGAGTAGTGGGTCAATAAACAATGTCACAACTGTCTCCTATTGCTGGGTGCTTCTGTGTTTACGGATGCTCACAATACTGGTAAGGACAGACAGCACAGGCACAGCGTTTGTCGTGGGGAATGTGATGGGTTTTTTCCCCCTGGAAGCTTTGGGGCTTGAAGCTCCAGAGTTCGGAGCTTTCCGGAGGTGCGGGTAAGGCTATGGCCCGGGCAGGGAGCCTGGTGCCATTCCGCGAGTTGCAAAAGTCAGAAAGCGTTTCGGAAGCCACAAAGACTCTAAGACCAATCTTCCAAAAGAAGACACGTATGATACGTATGTTGTTTTGTTTTGCCCCCCAGCGGCGAGCACTTCTGAGGCGAGCGCTGGCAGGAGGCCGTGTGGCTGCTTCAGGCGCTGCCCCATGCTGCGCTCGAAGCAGACGTGGTCACCTACAATGCCGCGATTGCCGCATGCAACTCGCAATGACGTCCACTTGCTTTTGTTTGCCCAGGGGATTTGCATGGAAGCCCTGCAGGCATCGTGCTATGTGTGATAGGCTTTTGGATCACCCATCAAGTGTTTCCCATGCCCTTCTTGGCTTGTTATCCCAGAAGATTTACATGTTTTTGGATCACCCAGGTCCATGTTTATGGGTTGCAGAACCACATGTCCATTGCCTTCGTGTTAGGTATGGCTCCTATACAACGTATACGAGCCGGGCCAGTGTTCATTGTGATCATTCTTGTTGCGGGGCTTTGGGAGAAAGAGAAGTTGCAGCTGATGGCAGTGAAATCAGATCCGACGGCACTTTGCTGTGTTGGTAACTTTGTTCGTTGACAATGATGCCATCCGTGAATGCCAAACGTAGGTGCAGAAAAAAGAAAGAGAAAGAGAGACTGAGAGAGAGATAGAAAACAAAACAAAAAAAGAACTGACAGAAAGAAAGAATAAAAGGAAAATTAGAAATACAAAAGAAAGAGACACACAGACAGACACAGACACAGACACAGACACAGACACAGTCACAGGCACAGACACAGGCACAGGCACAGACACAGACAGACAGACAGACAGACAGACAGACAGACAGACAAACACCCAAACCGACACACACAGATACACAGACTACAGACAGACGGACAGACAGACAGACAGGGAGGCAGACAGACTACAGAGACGCACAGACAGGCAGGCAGGGAGGCACAAAGACACCTGGACTCATAGACTCATAGACACACAGACAGACACACAGACACGTAGACAGACACACAGACACGTAGACAGACACATAGACACATAGACACAGACAGACACGCAGAATACACAGATACAGATACACAGATTCACAGATACATAGATACATAGATACATAGATACATAGATACATAGATAGCTCCCTAGAGGGTGTGTGGGTGTGCGGGTGTGTGTGTGTGTGTGGGAGATTTTGTGGGAGAGAGCTTCACAACTCCTCCAGTGACTTGCAACATACGCCCAAATGTGTTGTTTGCACGCAATAAAAGCGATTTACAAGGAACGTGCCATTCGTGAGGGTATCTCCTTCGTTTCGTCCTCCCTGTTTGTGTTCTTCCCATGTGATCCCGGGTATTTATGCGGTCGCTATGGGTGCATCCTTTCCGGTTGCCCTGTCCTCCGCTTGCAACCAAAAAGGGCGCCGCGCCAAAGACGGACGGGAGGTCTATTTTATCACGTGGCAGACGAACCCCATGGGCCGTGCAACCGTGTTCCTGTGCCCGTCAACCCACACTTAATTTCTTAACCAACAAACAGGGGATTGCACCAGGGAGTTCACACATCAGTTCATCACATGCAAACATTTCAAAGGAAACCAGCCAGACAGCTAGGAGTGGCTCCATTGATGCCCGTGCCCAGGCGGCCGGGGTCGTCAATGGGCCCGGGCGATCGCCTTGTTGGAGTTGGCGCAGCTCAAAGCGGAGGCCGCCACGGCGTTTGGCTTGACCCGTGGGTGGCTTCCTTGCCCTTTGGGGAGGCTCACTTCCTGAGTTCATGGGCTTTAAGCTGCTTGGAAAGACCATTTTTGTGGCAAATCAAAAGTTTGAGTTTTTGTTGGCCCATTAAGTCAGGAAGTGAGAAGGGTTTTGGGATTTTCTCCGAATCCGTTTGGACATAAGTCGCTGTTCCATTGTACGCCCAGATACCCCGTGGAGCCCTTCCTTTCATTCTGGAGGATTTTTCCTGAGTCAACTGCCACAACAAAAAACAAGTGCCCTTGTATTCCCATGGCCACTTTAGTCTGGGTTGAGGAAGCCCAATTGCCCTTGCAGATCACCCGCCCTCTCCGAGCATCAGCTTCCATGATCGCGGGGTAGAAGGGCTTGTGCCCCAGGGCTTCCATGATTATTGCCAATTCTCCAGGCATCTTTACGTTTCGCTGCTTAGACATCCTGCAGAAAGATGCCTTTTATCGTGAGCAGATTTGTCTTTCACTCGGGACTTGCAGTAGAATGGCTGCTTGCACGTATGCCGCATAGTCTGCAAAGACAGGTATCACTCGTATCATGGCACATGATCCAGCCTCTCATTTGAGCAGAACCTAGCCAGGGGGGACACCCAAAAAAATCCATGGAGGGTTCTGCAAGGGCCCGAAGAGACACCTTTTTGGGTCGAACTTTCTCTGAAAACGTGGCCCAGTACTGGGAAGCCGTCCCCTTGCCTAAAGGCAGTAAACAATCGAGCTGTGTACGAAAAGGGGTCCTTTCATTTCGTTTGGCTCGGATGGCTCTGAGAAAGTCTGCGTATCCCTTCCTTTTCAACCTACCAACACAGCCCTGTCTTTTTCGTGGGTGTTTAAGATCCAACTATTTTACCATAGGCTTTGGTGAAAATGAACATGCAATCACTGTTATTGATTACGAACATGAAGAAGGATGTCGGTTTGTCGCCAACCTCTGCAGAATGAGTGGCTTGACGTCGGTCAGTTTCAATTTTAAAGCCACCCCCAAACCGGCACCAAGTCACCTCAGCACCTCAACTACATGAAGCTAGTTGCTCCCCTCGCTTGCATCGGGGGGGCAGTCGATTGATTGTCCCAAGTTGGAGTTGCAAACGTCACTGGCTATACAGGAAAGAAGCATCCTCGATGTCAGCAACATAGAGGAAGTCTTCAACGATGGGCCTTAAAAACAACAAGGAACACAAGAAAACTGCCAGAAGTTACAAGACTTGGTAGAAAACGTGATTCAGCCTTTTATACAGAACGAAAACCAGAATTGCGTTTCAGATGACGCACTGCCGCATGGAAAAGTCTGGAAAAGAGTTCGCACCGTGCGTGAAGGAGCCAAGTGTGAAAGAGTGTACTAGAAGTGTTGACTGGTGATTCTTGGAATACTTACACTTTCTTTTGCACCCATGCTGTAAGTCCGTTTTGCTCATTTTCTTAGAGAGTTCCTGTTTCTATCTAAAATCAGAAATCTGGTAGTCAAGCACAGAACACCTCATCAACAAACTTGGAGCCCTAATCCTAGTTACTTCTAAAAGGCCTAAGTTCAAATTGAGACGCCGCTTCTGCTAGCTCATAAACTCCCTCACTTTCTCGCAGTTTAGATGAACCTAAAGCTCACCCAGGTCCCCCAGTAGTGCCCTTTTACCCTTTTTGGGGGGAGGGTTCCCCTACTAAAATAGACTACAGAAAGAACGGGTACCCTTTCTCTAACCTCTCTACTGGACCTAGTCACGTTCAGACTTTCGCTCCCGCGCCGGCCAGGCGGACGCCATCGGCTACGGAGCCGCCATCGCCGCGTGCGAGTGGACGCTGGCCTTGGCGCTGCTCGCGCAGATGGCTCGCCGCCACGTGGAGACTCGGACGTGAAGCCGGGGGAGTGTTTTTCGGCGGATCTGTGAGACTCGTGGGGGATCTGTGAGCCGTTTTCACCCACCCTTTGTTTGGGCCAAAAGGATCAAATGGAGTTTAGACAAGTTTTTGGGCTCTGGAAAACAAGGGTTCCAAAAGTCCCTCATGAGGGGAGCGGGTGGTGTGTGAGTGTGTGTGTGTGTGAGTGTGTTGTGTATGTTGTGTGTGTGTGTTGTGTATGTTCTGTGTGTGTGTGCCAATCACTAGCTGCTTGGAAGGGAGCCGTTCCGGAGCTGGGGGTCTCCAAATTGGTTTTCCTCGAAAAAGCCTTTTGGAGCTACTCGTAACAGGAGCTGAGTCCTAGTCCCCTTGCTAGACAAGGTCCCCCAGCGAGGTGCCCTTTCTCTCCCCTTTTTTGGTTGGTTTTGGGTTCCCCTACTAAAATAGGTACCCCTAGTCTAACCTCTCCACTGGAGGACCTAGACATGGCCAGCTGAAGGGGAGCCATCACTGCCCCTTGAGCGCAGGAATGCAGCGTGATCGCCCAGAACTCCGGCATCAGCGTCTGCGCCCAGGCGGGAAGGAAGTGACATGAAGCTCTGCCAAATTTGCTTGGGTGGCTCATTCGTTTTGGGTCATTATTGAAGGGCCGTAAAAGAAAAATACTAGTTGTTGTTTATTTTTTCCCAAAGGCGCGAAAACTGCACGCTTGCAGCTTTTTTTTTCAGCCCTGCACTCCCTCTTTTTGACACCGAGGCTGCCCAATGGCAGCGTGCGTTGCTGCTGCTGTTCGGCATGCACGAGCAATGCCTCCAGAGCACGGTGGTCTCCTTCAACGCGGCCATGGCGGCCTGCGCTCGGGAATGGTGGCAGGCCCCGAAAACGAGGAAAACGAGACCCTGGGTCCCTTGAGGTGGCAGTCTCACCTGAGTTCATGGACTTGAAGCTTGGGTTTGGTTGCCATTTTGGTGGCAACTCAGAAGTTCAGACCTTTTTTTGGCCCAACTCAGGAAGTGAGCAGTAGGTTCTCCAAAGTGCTGGTGGGTGTTCCCTTGAAACCAGCATTTGGGTATTTGGGTATTTTGGAGCACGTTGAACTTCGTGTCCGGTTTTGACTACCAGGCTAGGGTGATTTTCAAACAACTATGCCAGGCTGCAAACAGCAAGACGCAGTGCTACCAGCGTTCACCGTGAACATACGGCTGATGCCCTGAACATTGAAAGTAGGGAGAACCAGGGAACCCCAGATTGGGTTGGACGTGGTTTGCAAGATCTAGGGAAGCCGCCGTAGCTTTCAACGTTGCTTTTACTTGAATTCAGTCCTTGCAGGCCATGTGTGTCCTGCAAGCACTGCCTCTACGTGGACTTCTCCCAGACGTGACTGGGTGCTACAGAGCCCATGTGCGTGATTTTTTGTTCGCAGGAAACGTAAGCGAGCCAAAAGGGAATGGGAGTGTTTACCTAATTTGTTTGACAGGTTGCTTTGATGTTTCCCAACACGGCACGGGGTTGTTAATTTTCCCGGACCCCCTATTTCCGGCCAGCCTTCATTGCTGGTGTGGTAGGGGATTTGCGCCCCCGTTCTTGTAGACCCTCACCTGCAAGCCACCAATCCAAGCCACCAAGGCTTGCAGGAAACATGGCCTCTCGAAAATATGATCACCCCTGAGCACTGATTCTTGTCGAGGGTAATTGGGAAACCACCAAGTCAAACCAATCAGAGGAAAGCTGATATTGAAACCTGAGGTGATCTCATACAACGCAGGCATCAACGCCTGCGAGGCCCAAAATGGCTGGCAGATGGCTTTGGGACTCTGCCGAAACCTTGAGGAGAGTTTGCTGCAGAGGAGCCTTGGTTCCTTGCGCGAGTCCCAAATGGACCATAAACGATTCAAACCTGTTTCAGCTCCTTGGAGTCGATTTGTGTTTTGTGTCACGCTTTGGTGGTGTTGACCTTTCGGAAAACGAGTGTTTCCTGCAAGCCCAAAGCTCTCAAAAGTGTCACCGCTTGAAATCTTCTTTGAAAGGCTTGCCTTGGCGGATTCCAGCCACCGCCTTGGGCTTTAGCTTTTGAGTTGGTTTAGTCGGGGGGGTCCATTTAACCCACTAAACATGATTCACGTGTTGCAGGGGATCTGAAAATGGACAGCCCAGTTACGTACCTGTCGCTCACTCTCACGTGTTCCTTTAGTGGCCTTGACCAAGGAACGTGGTCACCTTCGGGTCGATGATCAGCAGCTGAGACGCGGTCGTTTTGGAGTCAAAATCATGAACCAACAAAAGACGTGTCCTTTGGATTGGGTGTGTTATGTTTGAGGGCACACGTTTTTGGGTTGTGCTAAAGGGCAGCCAAAGAGAAGTACTTTGAAAATGGTGCCGGCAGGGTGGTTAGAGGAATTCGCGCGTCGGCAAACGCCGTCGCCATACATTTAAGTCTCCGATCACTGAACGAAACATGTCTTTTCTGGGTATGTTCATTTCCAGACTTAGCTTCCCTCTTTGTTGTTTTGCTGTTTGGACCTATTGAAAGTTATCGTTTTGGTGGGGGGTCTAAGTCTGGCCCAGTGTTTGCCAAAGCCAAGGCAGCTTCGCCAAGAATTCTCAGTGGCAGCAGGCTCTGGACTGTTTGCGGGAGCTCAAAATGTCCGCATTGCAGGCGCGGCGGCTGCAACCGAAGGCAGTTGCACTCACTGCACCTATTTTCGGATTGCTTCCATTGGCTTAATGGACATCGGGGAAGAAGAAGCGTCAAAAGCGTCATCCCTATATTTTGTTTATGTTCCTCGCTGGTTGCAACGGGAATCAATCACTGGAAGTATTCTCTCATTCCTTCCAGGGGGCTGAAGCAAAGGGAAGAGCTCGACACCGTTGCGAAAAATGTTGGTGAGGGGTGTCGGGGGAATCTACGAGTTCTGCCGGAAGTGAGGAATTTGTAGTGGTGGCCCTATTGGCATATTTGTCAGTTGGCTTTCCACGTTGAGGCTGGAGGATTCTGAATAGGACAAATCCTTTTTGAGAGAATTCAACAAAGGGGTCCTCAGCAAAGTTCTTCCAAAACTGACGAACCTCAATGACCCCACTTGTTCAGACTGGCAAGGTCCTCAAGTTCTCCGCTTGCTTGAGCCGCGACGTCTCCAGCTCAATGATCACTGGGGTCATGAGTTTCTGAGCAAAACTCGCATCTGAATGGCCATGGGTCAAAATCCCGTACCCCCAGTGAACATCCCAATCCCCACTAAAATAGACTAGAATGGGTGGTGCACCTACCCCAAAATGGTACCATTGGTTTTGACCCACAGCCAAATGACACCCTTTGGGCAAAGTAGGCCTTGCTTGATCAGCGGTCAATCTGCTAGTACCATCCCGTCACTCCTTCTATTTGACACAATGCATAGTTCAATTGGATGTTTAACAGGTAATCCAAGCCTTTTCTATGTGTTTAGAGCTTCACGACCAGTGTTTACCAGCGTTCTTCACAGCGTTTGGGCGGAAATGTTTTACAGGAGCTGCTACCCCCAGGTACAATATAAACTGAGAGTACCGAGGAGCATACGCTTGTCAAGCGGACACACATGGTCGAGGGCCAAGGGTCTGAATCTGGAAGAGGGCTAAGAATTGCTTGCAGGAGAGGGGGGTTGTCCCAAGAGCAAGTCCCACCGGGTCCAGGAGAATTTGATTGCCTACAACGCCGCCATCTCTGCCTGCGAGCACATGCAGCTGTGGCAGGCGGCAGTGCACTTGCTGCAGGAGGCCCAAGCAAGCGCCATCACGCCTGACGCTTTGCTGACATGTGCCATGGTCAAAATGGGAGTGACGTTGTTGAGAGCCCTTTTTGGGGGAGCAAAGGGAAGCGACTTATGAGGCAAATCGTCTATGGGAGGAGGGCTCCAATTGGGAAGCGACGTATTTTGGGACAAAATCCTGCACCAGTTAGGATAGATGAAGAAAAAACAACTATCAACTGGTGCAGGTGTTTGTGCATTTGTATTCCACACAATCATGTGCCGGTTGCACGCAGAATCCACCTGAAACTCATGCAGGAAAGCAACAAAAAAGAATTGTACCGACTTCCTGAGTTCCTGAACTTCAAAATTATTGCCTGTGGACCATTTTAGTGGCAAATCAGAAGTCTGGTTCCTTGCTTTTGGCCCGTCAACTCAATGGGAAGTAAGTCTGTATTTCCCCTGGTGCAAAACCGACAAGGGAATCTAGCACCACTGGGCATGTCTTATTTTCAGTGGGCGGATTCGCGAATGGACGTTGCAATCTAGCACCACTGGCCTAGGTTCTTATGTTTGTGCAGTGGATGGAAGCTGCAATTCCCCTGGCGCAAAGGACATCATCTCCTTCAACTGCGCCTTGAGCGCCTGCAGCGAGGACCTGCCGGCGGCACGGCGCCTGCTGTCCGCGTTGCGCTTTGCGGGGCTTCAAGAGACGCCGGTGACCGGCCACGCGGTGATGCGGGCACTGGGCAGCGCCTCCCAGTGGGAGGACTGGAAGGGCGTGTCTTTTTTTTGAAGTTGGTACCCCCAAAATGTTGGGTATGAAAGCGAAACCAAAAGGGAACCCACCATTATTATGTTTTATGTATAAGAGCCTGTTGTTTTGTGTTTTGGCCCTTACACCGCTCGACCTCACGCTTTCAAGGGTCTCAAAAGCATTTGGAATCCCCCAACTCAGTGGCATCCTTTTGGTTTCCCTCTAGAAAGGCGAACACACATTTTGGGGTCACCGAGTAAAGAGCCGAGCCCCGCGAGTTTTCGGGACGCGGCAGGAGGCCTTGGCACACCTGGCGCGCCTCGCAGATCCCGACCTCATCAGCTTCCACTGCGCCGCCGCCGCCGCCTGCGGCACGGCACACGCCTGGCAGCGGGCGCTGCAGGCGTCGCTCGCGAGAGTGAGGGAGGGAGGCCACGTAGCCTTTGAGTTTTCCTCTGGACATCCAGAAAAAGAGAAAGACGCAAGCACCTGCCAAGCTGAAAGAGGCTGTGCTAAGATGGCCTGAAGGTCCCTGTCAGGTTTCATGGTTTGTTTTTGAGCATCTCCTGCAAACTCAGGTGTCCCGAGCAACGTGTTGTCACTATGTGTTGGTCACCCGCACATTGGAGAGACCGAGATGGTTGGAATGTAGGCCCTTGAATCATAAGGAACCCGGAACTTGCTGGGGAGTGAGCCAACTTTTCAGCCACCCTACATCAGCCCAGCAAGGACTGAACCTCGCTATGGGCAAAGAGATTTGGATTGATTGCCGCTTCGCTTGGCCTAAAGTTGGAATGGATCAGTCAACATTATTGTCGTCCTGAGACCTATGTCAACAGACAAGTACAGCTTGGGCCTCTCTCCTGCATTTTCACTGTTTGACTTCACGTAGCGTCATCTTCGTGTGTCCTGAAAATGGAAACATCGAGGACCACAGAACATTCAAGTGGACCAGCACCCTCGGGCTGGTTTTGCCCAAATTCGAGAAACCAGGTGTCCCCTGACGCGTCCGTCGCTTGGCTTTCCAGGGTGAAAAAGCACGGACAGGGCTGGTCCAAGCCTTTGGAATATTGCCAAAAGCAGAGAAATGTTAGGATTCAAAGGAAAAGACCGTATGTGTCCTTTTTGGTTTTTTGGTAGAAAAATGGATGGTCCTGGTTTACCTGGTGCATCTACCAGGGCCATCTATGTCCCCTAAAAGGACACCTAAGAAGAAGACGGGCTTTGGGAATGTTGCCAAACAGCAGAACCATATTGATAGGCTTTCATTCAAGAGCCTGCGGCTTCCGTCGCTTTGCCATGCAAGCACCAGGTTCTGAGCAGCGCCCGGCTCGCGAGCTTCCACTGGGCACCTTGATGCGGATGAGGGGGGGGTTGGGGGTGGGAGGTGAGGGGTGGGAGGGTGTACAGCGATCTTCAAGCGAAGATGAGAAGAAACCACTACTTACACGTTCTATGAAGGTTTTACCCAATTCCCTCCGGGGGGGGTGGTTTCAAGGCACAGCGTAGCTTGTTCCCTTTCACGGGAGAAGAAGAAAAGGCATGCAAAGAGATTTCTTGTGGTGGCAGTGCAGTGCTGAAGCAATTGAATCCATGAGTTGCAATCAGCCGCGAGCATGTGAAGGAGCCCAATACCGCGTCTAAGACATGCGTTGTTTAGTCGGTGTTATTCTGGTGCAATGTTCACGGACGGTGATGTAGGGTGATCCAAAGTTGGACGCTTGTTCCTTCGTATTTTGGCAGCAAACACCCTCAAGCCTTCACCACTTGCGCAGAAGCTCACGCTGAAACCTTGTCAGGCATGCTTTCTGAAATTCCGGCGTCTTGGTGGTCCCCGGCCATTTGGTTCCTTAGGCTTTTTTTTCGGCTTTTTGAGTTTAGTGGTTGGGTTTCCATTTAAGCCATCAAAAGTTAGTCACCGTTTAGGGGATCTGAAAACGAACAGCCCAGGAAGATCATATGCTCTTCGGTTGGCTCGGACGATTTGTTGCGATACGCAACCAGGAACTTCTGACTTTGGGGCTGGGGGAACGTTCCAAGCAAAGGGGGCCCTGCCAGATGGATGGGTATTGCTTTTCTGCCCCCAACTTGTTTGACACGCAGCCACTTGTGTTTATCCAGGGTATGGCACACTTCTGTTCATGTTCCCCAAAAGGAAACCAACAGGGGATGGTTAGTTGAAACTTTCTTATGTTATCGATCCTATTCACCAGTGTTTGGAGAGCCAACTTCATACTAGTCTACCCTCTAGTCAAATGGTTTTTGAGGACCCCCCCCCCGCCCCCCCACATTCAAGCCACTTAGGCACGTAGACATGGGTATGTGTCAAAGTACAGTTCTCCTTTTGGTTTCCCTGAATAAACCACCCAACAATGGGGCCTCAAAAAGATGAACCCGTCATAGGACAGCGTCACCTACACTACCGCCATGATCGCCTTTGAGAAGGGTGGCCAGTGGCAAAAAGCGCTGCTTCTTTTCGAAGAGGCAGTCACAAGGACGAGATGTGACCTCGTCATCTACAACGCACCTACGCAAAATAGAAGAGCACTTGCACAGACAGTGTGTGTGTGTGTGTTTTGGTTGGGGTACCCTGTTTGGGTTGGTTTAAAGGGACCCATTTTGACACACCCACCTGGCCGCCGTTGGGTTACACGGTTACAGTTGCAAAACCTTCAAGTTTGTGGGACATGTGTGAGTGCTTCCCTACCACTTTCTGCCGAAACCAATAGCCACGACCGATGTCCAGACCTCAAATTCGCTCGTGGCTGAAAGGCGTCGCTTCATAGCCTAGCGGGTTTCGGCTGAAAGGCCACGGCTTCGCGACATGGGCCTAAGAGGAGTGTTTTCAACCAACCTCCTCTTGAATGTCCCCTTTCACATAGTTGTTGTTGGGAAACATGTTGCTTATCCCCACTGAACTGCTAAAATTTATTTATTTGTTCTCCCCTTCCAACGTCAACCAAGTTCACATCTGAGCTGTACCCTCCTTTTCCATTCTCAGGGATCTTGTTCCAACATGGGCCAAATACCTGGAAAGTAGGTGGTGTCTAAAGAGAACGATGGGGGAAGAGAATTCTGGAACCAAACCTATGTGTGCCATTCTCTGTTCCACCCTCGCCCTGTTCCACCCATTCTTTTCGAGCATTTTCCACCACTTAGAGTTGTTTTGATTCGCATCGAGGCAGCCATGAGCGCCGGTCCCTGGCAGCACTGCCTCCTGCTGCTGCATGACCTGCAGCTTCGGAAGCTGCGCGCCAACGCGGTCACCTTCGGCACCTCGACCCGGCAAAGGAGCGGGAGTCCTTTCGGGGTTTGGAATCGTTCACTTCCAGTTGCTGGAATGAGTACCCTTTCCCCTGTTGGTTTTGAAAGGGGATGGAAAGAGTTGTGTCTTGTGTTGTTTTGTTCTTACTTTCACCTGTTGGTTTTGCAAGGGGATCGATGTCACTACTGAACATGTGGCTTTTCATGTTTTTTTTCCAGCGGACTTGAGGAAATGGAAGGAATTGTAGAGTTTGCAGATTGATGGGTACCCTCCGTTTTATTAAGTCTTGGCCACGATTTCTTGCACAGTCAAAGGCCACGCTAAGAGTCAGGTCCGCTTTCCAGCTAGGTCTCCAACCCGCACATCTGTGGGTTTGTCTCAGAAGCGGGGGGCCCCTTTTTGCAAGTGATCCCGGACATCAATCCCCTCCAAGATGGTTTTTTCTAGAAGGTCCCCACTTGCAAATTCATAAAAATGTGTGCCATGGTCAGAACACTCCTTTACTTGCTGTAAGCATAGGGGTCATCGACCATGAGGATTTTCCGGAAACCGCATCGTGACCCGTAGTTTGGACCACGGCTGCCTAGGCGCAGTGGTGAGCGCGTGCCGCAACAGTGGGCAGTGGACTTGGGCGCTGCACGTCTTGGACGTGGCAAGGCCGTCGAATGTTGACCCCATCCTTGAGGGGCCCGGCGACAAGACCCAAATGTGATGCGATCCCTTGTGTGCGAGCCACGATGACTAAACCTAAACTCAGGAATTGTACGGAACTGCGCTGCCTACTTTCACGCAACTGCAACTGGGACCTGGACATCAGAATTACATGGGGTCTTATGTCCACTAACCATTTGTTGAGGGTATTCTCAAATAGGGCGATACTGCACGCCTTTTGGGCAATCTTGACTCAACGTTGACCCCATGTCCAGCACTCATGAAAGTGAACGAGGGGCCTTTGAACACAGTCGTTCAAAATATCTGTCCACGTCCTTTGTTGAAAGGGTGTTGAAAAGCGAATGCTTTCAGGCTGGGCTGTCGGGCACGCCTTGCTCCTTCCCTTTGCCACGTTTGGGCTCGGAACGGGACCTTGGCCAACCCTCTGTGGACAGAGGTGGGCTCTCGATGCCTCTCCCGGTCCGGCAACCTTGCAACCTGCCTTCTTTTCCAGTCCCTGCTTTGTTGTTCTAGGGGTGATGAGACAGGTGAACACATAAAGAAGCCTGGGAGCAATGCTCCAATATTTTCCATGGAGTGAAACCGGCCCTCTGCAAAAAGTTTAACTGTTTGGGGGTTCAACAGGAAACCCACCGTTTCCCAAATCATTAAAGCCCAAAGATCCAGCCAAACAGCCATAAAGTTGCCAACTTCCTCACAGATCGGAATTGCTGCTGATTCTTGCTTACTCATAGAAATATTATCTTGTGGCACTGTGTATCACATCTGCCCATCTTCCACGATGCCCACTCGTATTTTGGAGGGAACCGTAGGATGAGAGTAGGCCGAATTTGAGCCATAAAAAGCATTTGCCCAACCCAATTCCTTGGGGTTGTGGTTTTCAGGAAGGACGGATCCCTAGCACCTGGAACGCAGCCAAGCATCGTCTTTGTTTTCGAGATCTCGTTTTGCCCTGTTTGCACAGGCGATGTCTATTTTGAGGTTTCTGAAACAATCTATTTTGAGGACTGTGAACAAATCTCAGAAATATGCTTTTCTGGGTACCCTCTCCCCGCTTTCAATATTCGTGGGCACCCCACCCCAGCCCACCCGGAGGCGGCAGCTGGCGGCCAACTCGGTGGTGACCAATGCCGCGGTGAACGCGTGCGGGCGCGCGGAGCAGTGGCAGCGAGGGATGCAGCTCTTGGGGCCGGACTGGAGAAGGGACCCAAGCGTCGCAACTTGAGATCTGGGCATCCCAACTATTGGGATCTGGGAAGCTGCAAGGGACACCACACCCAAATGTGTTTTTGTTGTTGTTGTTTTTCTCACTTTTGGGGCGGTGTCTGTTTTTTTTTCCCCCGGCCAGCCGTAGTAAATCCGCATGGGAGCTGGGAGGGAGGGGAAGAGGAAGCCCAAGGGCCTTGTTTCAGGGCTGGGCTGAGCTTTGGGCGGAGCCGGCGAACTCGGGGAACAGTTCTTGATTTCTTCCCTTTGCTTATTGACGTTTCTGCAGATCTTTTCTCACGAAAGACAGATGGGTCAAATTGTCTCTCTCTCTCTCTCTCTCTCTCTCTTTTTTGGGAGAATCCATTCGGGGAGTACGAGATCCAGCTCAGTTTTGTTTGGTTTTTCTCCATGCTTTCAGCCGCTTCGCTTTCAGCCGCTGGCTCGCTCGCGTGAGGACGCGGACCTCGCGGCTTACGATTGCCTTTTGGCCGCCACGGCGGGCTGCGGTCGACGCGACCAGGCGAGTCTCTGCCGTCCGACTGCTTGGGCAGGGGATGGCCCACTTTTTGACTGGAACCATGGGAGACATGAGCTTCCATTTGCTGAAACTATGTTTGTGCTTTTCGATTTGACCCTGCTGGGTTGCTGGGCCTACGCAGATGGAAGCACGGAGCTATAGCACAGAGTGGTCCCAACCCAAACTCTATTTGGCGGCTGAGTTTCCGTCCCTTGTTTTTTGCGGTACCTTCGCTGGTTTTTGGGGGATGGTTCTCATACGACAATGTTAAGGAGGTCCTCCAAACGCAGATTGCACATACATGGAAATACAGTGGACAGAGGCATGCCCAAACACTGGATACCCGAAAAGAAAGGACACACCCAATTCAAAGAATGTTAAAGCTCACATGACGTGCCACCCGCACGTTCTGAGAGGGCGAGTTGCCGCTTCAAATGGGCTCTGCCACAGTCAAAAGACTCGGTTGCTTAAAACGGCTAAGTGTTCAGCGCCAAACATGAAGTACCCAAACACCCTACAATTTGAAGACTGCTTCCGGCACGTACCTCGCAATTTTGCGGGGGATCCTGTTGTTTTGTTCCAACCCGACTTTGACCCGCTTTGCTTTGATCTTAGAATCATGGGGGAATCAACTTTCGTCTTGGTGAAACCACGGGATGTGAGCTGACCATGTCCCTCCCCCCCCCCTCAGCCAATGTCCATCCCCACGTTTGTCGTGAACCCACACGGCCATCGGCAGCTCCCCCCCGAGCGACTCCCCGAGGCCGTGCGGCTGCTGTGGCGCTCCGCACATCTCCGCACCGCCGCGTCCTTCCTCTGGGCCTTGGCCACGCTGGGCTGCGAGGACCCCGAGGCGCCGCCCGAAACGCGGCGTGCGCGCGGAAGGTTTTTTTGGTCGACCAGGATGGGTATGGATCAAAACTCAGCCAAAACCGCCAGGAATTGGTCCGTTCTACACAAAAAGAGGGGTGCAGTTTGTGTCAAAACATCGGCCAAAAGCAAAAACCCCGCGGATTGTTTGGTCCGTGTTTCCAGTCTAGGTCCCCCAGCTAGGTGCCCTTTCTCACCCCTTTTTTGGTTGGGAGGGTTCCCCTACTAAAATAGATAGCAAAAAAATCGGGTATTCTTATTCTAACCTCTCTACTGGAGGACCTAGAAAAACATAGGCCACCCGAAACAACACGCAGATCTTGGTCCGTTTAATCCAGGGTTTCAGTTTGGGGTTACCCTATGTGTGGTTCCAAAAACCAGGGGTTCATGATTGGGGCTACAACTTTTTGTTTGACCAATCAGATGCTTAGGTACGATCCCTCACGAGCCCCCGAGTGGATTGGATTTCAAAAAAGCACGTTTGGGGGGGGTGTGGCTGCCATTTTTGTGGCGAACTAAGAAGTTTGGTGGCTTGATTTCGCCAGTCCACTCAGGAAGTGAGTGTCCTAATGGAAAATTCTGAATTACATGTTCAGAGTGTTTGAAGGGGGTGTTGTTGAGTTTGAGAATTCTTCGATGTTCGCAACTCTTTGCCCTTTGCTTGTGCCAGTCTTCGGTCGAGTTTGAGGTTTGATCTCCCACGCGATGTCAGGAATCCCCTAACAACCCCTGCTCGACGACCATAGAAAGCACTAACCACACTCTGAGTCTATCGGATTCTCGGGATCGAGCCAACTCATTGGGGGGCGCAAACCTGAAAAGTGCTCCAGAATTCGTACTTCAGCTCCAGAATCACGTGGGTTTCCCTTTGGTTTCCGTATCGAAACACCCAGTTGCCCAGTGGTGCCCTTTTTGTCCTTCATTTTGGGAAGGGTGTGCCTTTAAAGTCGAACCAAACCAGGGTGCCTTTTTTTTGCCATGGCCACTGGGCATCTGAGAAGAAAAACAGAAGCCAGAAGCCGCTTGATTTTGGTCCGGGTCAGGTCATCGCTGCTGCACTGGACCTCGACTCGGACTCGGATCCGCGGCTGCTGTGGTCACTGGCCACGCTCGGGGTGGAGCATCCAAAGCAGAGGCCGGAGGTGGGGGTTACCCCCGAAAACGCCACGAATCCATTTGCCGTGTTTTTGTTGTTATTTGTTATTGTGAGCTATTATTATTATGTTTATGGCTGTGGCTCAAATAAATGTAGTAAAATGGCACCTTGGTTAATGAACTAAAGACTAAAACCTGCGTAACCCTAGCTCTTTAATTTTGAGCCACACCCATATGTTCCCATTTGCAGAAAAGATTTGCTTCTTGTGTTCCCCTTGTTGGCCTTTAAGGGAAACAATGTCACTACTGGAAACAGTGTCTCAATGTGTCTCATTTGTTCCAGGAGGCCGAAGCAAATGGATGACCTCCAAACGAATCCAAACCATCAGTTAGGGGGAGGCTGACAAGCATATTATGTATTTTATGCTGCCCTGTTTGGTTTTAAAGGAGATCTATCACTTTTGGACATGTTGTTATTCAAGGGGACTTGAGCAAATGGAGGATGCGGATTTCCGGATAGGGTGCAGTGGCAAATCGCGGAATTCGACCTGCCAGTATTGAATTTGGGTTTCCTCCCACATTGGATTTTGTCCATCCACAGTATGATAGCAAGAACTGTTGTTATTTGCAGGCTCCTTGCTTAAAAATGACCACAACCGAAGAAGCAACAAAGCACGCACAACGACCATGCCGACGGATGAATCAATTGAACAGGGCCCGGATCCATTTTCAAGGAGGCATGTAAAGACACGGTTCAGCTAACGAATCAGCTGCTGGCTCCCATCTGGCGGTTCCTTTTCGGCATGACCCGGGTCCCGAGCCAATCCATAACCTTTGGCATGGCCGGTGATCCCAAAAATCCTGAGGCTTTCCAAGAGTCCGGCAACTTTCTCAAGAATGTGCCTGGCATTTTTCTCATTTCTAACAGTTGTGTTGGGCTTCGAGAGATCGAGCCAACACCCGAAATGGCTCCAGGGCAAACTTTGGTATCAATTGGTTCTCCACAAGTCAATCATGGCCGGCAAGCGCGACCTAGAATGCAAATTTGATTTGTTCGGGCAGTGATTCCGTCAGTCCTCAGGCGGTAGGATGGATAAAAGGTCCGCGCCAATTTTCCTCGCACGCAGGTCCCTCTATGCGCAGTTTCTCCGAACCATCGATGGCCGCAGCCTGGAGGAGATCCTTTTGGCCGCGTCACACTGCGATGCCCAGCTCGAGGTGGGGCAGGGATCTCCGATACGAAGCCGCACTCGTAGACCTGGCGATCAGTAGGGCATGACCCAGGGTTTTGGGAACGCGCCTAAGGATTCTCGTCAAGGAAACCATTGGGACTGGTTGAAAGGAGTCATTCCCCCACTACAGACAACCAACACGTTTGGGGGGAGCGAAAGCTGCGTGCTCAGGCAACTGGATGCGTAACTGGGTGATCGAGGCTTGACAAAGGCTTACCCATGTGTTGTAGCCAGAAAACGACCAAGCACTAGGCAGGCATTGTGTGTTCAAGGCAGGCATGAGCAGTTTTGTGTTTTGTTCTTTCCTTAATTTGTTTGTTTGTGTCTGTTTGTGTCTGTTTGTGTTTGTTTGATTGGCAGTCTGCCTGCTGTCTGTGTGTGTGTGTGTGTTTGTGGGTTTGCGGGTTTGTGTGTTTGTGTGTTTGTGTGTGTGTGTGTTGGAGTGTTTCTGTGGTTGGCATGTGTGCGTGCAGGCGTGTATGTCTATGTGGTGGGCATCGTCGTTGTTTCGAGACATGCTAACGATGCTTAGTAGATGATACGAGGGTCGGAAATCGTGTTGCGCGTTCAACTCGTAGAGCAGGTCGAATTCTCCAGAAGTCTTTGATACATAAGAGAGTGGCACAAGAGATATTTTGCTTCCAGGCCGGGCTCTGGCTCGACATCTCCTGGTGGGGATTTGTGTATGTCATGCATGTTATTTTTGTTCGGCTCGGGTACCCTTGAGGTTGGTTTCAACAAAGCAGCCAGCCTCTCACTTGACAAGCCGCATGAGGCGGCCCACTTCGATGGCCTGCAGGAGGCAGTGTTGCTGAAGCTGCCTGAGCTTGGCCTGGCAGTGAGGCAATAAGTCAAAAGGATACCAGGGGAGCCGCCATGGATTCGTATGAGCCCGAACAGTCAGATGCCGGGGCATGGACCAGCCTTGCTTGGGTGTTCAAGTCCGGAGAGCCAATTTGATGGGTTTTAAGTTGGCGAGTCGATATCAGTCATACAGTAGATGGACAAATTAATCAAACCACCAACAGACATGGCGCACACCCCCAGTACCCCCCAATGTCAATGTTACACTGCGCACGAGCACTTTTCATGTCATCGGGGTTTGATTTAATTCGTCCACCCAGCCTGATCCTCCAAACGGGCAATAACATTGAAATCGAGGGGGCAAGGGGGGCATTATAACTGTAAGGGTTTGATTAATTCGTCCACCTACGGTACGGCCAGCGTTGGTCGGCAATGGTCACGCAGACGCTATCTTTTCACGAATTTCATGCGTGGTTGCACGTGCATAGACGCAAATTGAAAGGTATGGCACAGACTGGCACAGACTACAAAGCAGACAGGAAGCGGCGCTGCTCGAATGGCAGAAGTTTGCTGAAGGCTGCCAGGGCTTGCCAGTCACTGGGGGTAAGCTCTGCAACATTGAGAGCACCCAGGGCAGAGACCTCAGCTGCCAACAGCAGGACTTTTTGCTTGGGCAAACTGGCCCGCAAAGCCAGCTCAGTCAGACCTTGGACAGGCTCATGTTGATGACCGGGCGGCGCGCATGGAAGAGTTGGGATGCTCAGGGCTTCGGCAGCATCGTGCTCTGTAGCCCCGCTGCGCACCCAGCGACTCAAGCAAACTTCACAAGGAACCGTTTCCTTCAACTGCGCAATGGTCTCTGTGCAGTTGAAAATGAGGACCCTGCTCTTCATGTGCCGGATGTCCTCCTCGTCCACGCCAGGCAAGGGCTTCCATAGATCCTGGGCTTTTGCCGTGAGGAGACAACCACGGTGCCACTCGAAATCCACATTCCCATCGTTAAACGACTGCGACACCTGCACCTCGAAGGGCTGCCCTTGGAATAGGCTGAGAAAAGTGGTGACTGGCACAGTTCTCTGACCGTATTCCACTGGGCGGAAGTCATCCCAGAACAGGAACTTCTTGTCTTTCAGAATGTTCCGGAGGGAGAAGGAAGACCCCAGCGCGGGCTTGTGGAAGACCTGGCCAAATCCAAACAGGCTGTCAAAAGGCAGGACTAAAGTGGACTTCCCGGAGTTGGTTGGGCCGACGATCATGGGCGTGCGCGTCGTCTTGGAGGGACCAGCTAGCAAGATGTTTCTGAGGGCCACTGCCAGCTCAGACCGAGACAATGTTGAGAAGTTGGCCTGAAAGAAGTTGGCAGCTGCGTGAGCGTAGGTGCAAGCATCACCATGTGGGCACGGACATTCCGCCAACTCGCAAAGCCTTTCCCAATCAGACTTGCGATCGTTGGCTGCCTTTTGCCTTGCCAGTCCCCATTCCTGCGCCTCAGCTAGGTAGTCCTTCAAGTACCGCTGCCGCTGATGCACAAAAAGCTGGGCCTGTTCAGTCCCATGGTTCTGAACGTATTCCAGCACGGCAGCCTGGGTTTCGAGGCCTTCGGCTAGGATCAGAGATGTCAGATCCAGCTTGTTGAAGCGCTGCCTCTTCTGCGAAGCAGCTTCTGCCGTTCGCTCGGCCCCCTCTCGGCGCCTTTTCCAGATCTCTGCATTCCAAGGACGCTGGGACTCCGCAAACAAGTCCAGGGCATCCCATCCCAAACTCTGCGACCACGAGACAGGGTTAAGGTCCACATCTGGCTTTGAGGCAATGTAGCCATACCGAACCGCACTCCAGAACTGGGTGTGTGTGCTGGAAAAGTGGCATGCCAAATGGTTCCTGGCTCGCAGTGTGTGCTTGGCAGTGGCCCAAGTCCTTGGCTGGGCCAACTGCACGGCTACATGGAAGTGCTTGCTTCCGTCAGCATGAGCTTCCTGGAAGACGACGAGCTTGTTCACCATGGGTTCGGTGCGTGTCCGAGGACGCCCGGCAGAGGCTGGTGGAATCATAGGGTCATCAAAGGCCTGCCGTACAGCATCCGCCACCTCTTGACGAGTCATGGTCTCGATCTCACGCAAGTCTGCCGAGGATTCTACAGTACTTGGCCACACTCTGGAAATGGTCAGCAGGTGAACTTTGTGCTTGAAGTTCTTCACCTCTGCCCCGAGTCCTTGCAGCCAGGTCGCCAGTTGGTCCTGCGTGGCTGCCTGATCATGGACTTTGGGGGTAACTTCTTCTCCAGCAGAAACCACATCAACCAGCTCGCTCATCAGGACCGCGGAGGCTTAAGATTCGTGACTGCTCTGGGCCAAAACCAACTGCTTGCCGGCTGAAGCGTCACAGAAACCACAGAGCTGTGATGCAGGTTATTTGACAAGCATGGTTATGTGTCGAGCCGTGGAAAGTAAGACTGGGCGGCGCACCTGGACGTTCGCCATCAGGACAGAGGCTGCAGAGCCAGGATGTTGTTGCAAGACTCCTGCACCGAATGACACCATGGGACATGAACGTTGCACTGCGCGTCGGTTCCAGAATTGGTGGCTACGCATATACTATTTGACCCTGCGCACGTTCATGTTGAGTTTTCCAATTCCAAACCTGCCGGTGGTCAGATTTTCCTCAAGTTTTTCCAGTTCCTAATCCGCGGGTGTTCAAATTCCTCAAGTTTTTCCAGTTCCTAATCCCCGGTTGTTCAAATTCCTTGAGCTTTTAGTTCCTAATCCCCGGGTGTTCAAATTCCTCGAGTTTTTCCAGTTCCTAATCCCCGGTTGTTCAAATTCCTCGAGTTTTTCCAGTTCCTAATCCCCGGGTGTTCAAATTTCTCGAGCTTTTAATTCCCAATCCCCGGGTGTTCAAATTCATCGAGTTTTTCCAGTTCCTAATCCCCGCTTGTTCAAATTCCTCGAGTTTTTCCAGTTCCTAATCCCCGGGTGTTCAAATTCCTCGAGTTTTTCCAGTTCCTAATTGCTGTCCCAGTTCCTTTCCAGTTCCTTTCCAGTTCCTTTTCCAGTTCCTTTTCCAGTTCCTAATTAGGATTTGTTGCGTTTTCTCAGCAATTGCTTCTTGACCATGAATTTATTTAAAGAAAAAGAAAAAAGTATTTATTTCTTTTTTATTTTCAGCAACTTGGAATGACTGAGAAAACACAGCAAATCCTAATTAGGAACTGGAAAAGGAACTGGAAAAGGAACTGGAAAGGAACTGGAAAGGAACTGGAAAGGAACTGGGACAGCAATTAGGAACTGGAAAAACTCGAGGAATTTGAACACGGGGGATTAGGAACTGGAAAACTCGAGGAATTTGACCACACGGAGATTAGGAACTGGAAAAACTTGAGGAATTTGATTATACTCCAGGAAATCATGACCACCCGGGGATTAGGAACTTGCAAAACTCGAGGAATTTGACCGTTGAGTTAGAAAGATTCGAGGATTTTGGTTATGTGAGCTGGACAGTGTTGAGGACTTCAACCGCCGAGGAAAAGGAAGTTGGGAAACGCAGGCCAGACAGCAACATGAAGCGCGAAAGTGCGAAGGCCCTGCGCAACCTGTTTTTTGCATTGCACTGGTGCGATATACAGGCAGTCGACATGGATGCGCTTGCTTCGAAGCACATCCTGCTTGTAAAGTTGGAGATGCATCAGGCGATCACCAATCACTGGTGACCTCCCTCGGGAAAGAAACTGCCGTGAGAAGTGATGACCTGCTGCACCCGGCCAGCCAAAGCACCCACGATTGAGGACACATAATCCGTGGAGAGGCTGCAGGCAGTCCGCCTCAAGCGAGCCAAGTAAGCCTGCCTTGTCTCGCGCTTGTTGTTTGGCCACTTGCTCTCCATGCGCCGCATCTTGCGGTTCACCTCTGCCCACAAGCTGTAGTCCAATGGATTGAGGTCTGGCGATCGCTTGGGCAAGTCCAAGGTCACTATCCCAGCATAAGCCTTGGCCGCCAAGCCCTTGGAGCTCTTGTAGCCTGACGGGTCGTTGTCTTCCAAGACCCGCCAAGACCCCCTGACATCTGGATACTCCCTCGCCAAGGCGCGCTGCAGCGGCCCACAGTACATGCTCGCAGCGGATGCCCCGTTCCACTGCCCCTTGGTCACGTGCCACATGAGGACCTTGCCATTGCCAATGGCACATGTCACCTGGGCTGACTTGGCTCCTGTGTTCTGCTTCAGCGCGGTCGGGGGCTTTGTGTAGCCAGCGGTAAAGACTCGGCGCTTGCTGCGGTAGGCACCACGAATACTGCGTCGGGCAGCATGATCCCTTGCTTTCCCTGTGTGGTACACCTGGAACGTCTTGTTGTCAATGATGGCGTGCAAGTAGCCTCAGCAGCCAAAGAACGAGAAAAAGATTAGTGAGTCTTGCTTGGGGCGTATCTATCCAAACTTTGAAAGATCTCTTGCTGTTGAGCAGCGCTCCCATTGCAACGCACTTCGGTGGGAGTGGGCCTCTGCCCACGCGAACCTCTCTTTGACGTCCTCTGGGGACAAATCCGGCTTCTCATACAGCGGCCGGAAGTGCACCCCGTGTGCCCAAAATGCCCGGCTGATGGTTTTGAGGCTGCACTTCAGCTTCAGCTCCTTCTTCAGCACTGCGACAGTGACCTCTTTGCCCTTGGCCTGACGCAGCAGCTTCTGGTACGCCTTCTCCATCTGCTTGTACTTGTTCTCCGTAATGATGACTTTGGGCCCCACCCGCCCGGACTTCGTCTTGTTCTTACGGAAGAGGTGCTTGGACACTGTGTCAGTGGAGCGGCCCACCGCTGCTGCAACCTTCTTGACGCCAAGGCCATCGGAATGAAGGTGCTTCATGAGCTCCTCTTCAATTGGCGACACGTGCACGAACGCGGTATCCTTCTTCATGGCCTTCTTGCCCGTCACAGGAAGAAGGATCTGCCGGATGGCTTTGGGGCCGTACCCGAGCTGCTTCATGCGTGCACTGACGCGGTTGGCCAGGTCCACTCCCAAGTTGCAGATTTTGGGCGCCATGGACGGCGCAC